TCTCTCTCTCTCTCTCTCTCTCTCTCTCTCTCTCTCTCTCTCACACACACACACACACACACACACACACACACACAGATTGTTCAGAAGGACCCTCCCAGCTCCCACCATAAAACCGGGCAGAAAGGCCCATCCCCCATGCGAAAACTCCTGCCCCAGACCTCATTCTCTCCCCTTTCGTCTGTAGTGGAGGGTAATGAGCCGTCCTCCTCCACTATCTACCTGCTTGGCGGCATGACAGCTACTTCAACTTGCCGTTCGCAGATGGCCCTCTGTTCTTTGAGTTGTTGCTCTTCCTTGTTCTAATAGATGACATTGGGAATGCAGGTCACTCTTCCCCGATGCCACTTTTCCCGACTGGGAGCTGTGGCCGACGATTTCTGTGATCAAATATATCCGAATCAGCTGTAGTTTGTTCGTCCGCCACCAGCCTACATCTTGAGTGTTGCCGATTTTTTTTTTTTTTTTTTTTTTTTTGCGCAGGGGCCATGGAGGAGCACGGGAGGAGGCTTCTCGCTGTTAACCACGTTGATTCCTCTCGTACCATGGCCCTCGCTCCTCTACTCTCCACATGCGCACTTACAAAAATTGTGGCGGTGCATCCTTCCATGTTATAGCCGAAGATTCGTTCTCAGTTTGCAGATTGGGAGAGTAGTGGAGCAGTGGCCCATGCCTGGACGTCCTACCGTAGTGTTCCGCGAATTTTACTTACTTCCCTCGCTTCCATCCCTCGCTTCCATCCCTCGCTTCCCTTTATTAGGGGAAAACGTTTTTTCGCCCAAGGGGGGGATAGGAGATGTAAAGGACGGACTGTTACTTCTACACGTTCGTATGGAGTTGGAGGGCGTGGGAGAAGACGGGTAATCCGCCTTTGGCACGTAAGGTTTGGGCACGTAAGTTCCCTCGCGCCGGTTTGGTCTTCTAGAGAACGCGCGGAGGCATTACATTCAGGGCATACACACGTCATCCGGCAGGAGGGTGTTCTGAGAGGTACGGGACCGCAACTGGAGCCAGATTCCGTCGCGCACAGCCGGCACTCAGGTCCGGCTGGAGGTTTTTCTGAGAGGCATCGGACCGCAACTAGAGCCACATTCCGTCGTGCACAGCCGCCACTCAGGTCCGGCTGTACGATGATCATCATCGTCGCTTTCATTGCAATGTGAGAGACAATCATTTCAAAGATGAGGTAACGGATGTCCTCCTCCTAACGCAAGGGTAAGAGCGATCATTGGCGGGAATTGGACAGCTGGTAGTCGATAGCTCTCTCTCTGTGTGTGTGTGTGTGTGTGTGTGTGTGTGTGTGTGTGTGTGTGTGTGTGTGTGTGTGTGTGCGGGTTTGCAACGAAGTCTTTGCTCTCTCTCTCTCTCTCTCTCTCTCTCTCTCTCTCTCTCTCTCTCTCTCTCTCTCT